CACAGCAACGAAGACCAGCTTACATGCCATTATTTTTATGTTATTATTTGAGATTTTTCCCTGGGTACTCAGCTCTGGGCTTTCCCTAGAGGGGGTGGTAAGGGGGGGCCTCTCTCCTCCTTGGAAGTCTAATCTGGGGACAATAGGGACATTTGATTTAAGTTGACATGCTGAAAATCATGTCAAAAGGGGGAATTTGTTAGAAATTATTAAAACAGTCAGATAATTATTAGACATTAATGTGTTAGTAATGTAGTTTAGTAAGACTCAAAGTCTGCTCCAGTTTGCTCTGCTTCAAGGTTAGAAGATAATGTTGATTCTGAAAAGTGTACCTTGACACCAGTTGTTTTCTTGTATTAATTTTGTATTTGTATTAATCTTGTGTAAGAATTATGTCTGAATGAATGTTTTAGTTACACATCACGTATACAACATACACACACATGGAATTCTACATTTTGTTATGTCCAGCTGCTCCACGCATGCGGAGCATAAGATATGAGAAGGAGACAATGCACCGTCTCCAACTCGTGATGTTTTTATATCTTTTTGTGTAAGGGGTTAGCCCAAAACCTTATAAATGTATTAGACTCTGTGTTTCCAGCGTCTCTCTCTTCTCCAGCAGCTTGTCTGAGGGAGGGAGCCACCCGGGTTTGTGCTTCTGTAACTTTTATTTGTGGTCTTTAAAAAAAAAAAACAGCACTAAAATGAAGCAAGTTGGACTCCGTCTTCATTCAGATCTGTTCAGTTAAAGAACTGGGGTATAACACTCCATATATGAACAGACATTCTCAGTGATGAAGTTCAACAAATCCAGATTTCAATGCACTTGTTCAAGCCCAAGCCAGTCTGGATTTCTCTCACTGAACAAGTAAAATGAACTGAAAATGCATATCTTTACCATACTGCAAAACACCTTTTCAGTGTTATGTGAAGTTGAAAATAAAATGGAACTGTGATATAATGTTTGTTTTTGTTTTTACTGTTTATTACTTCTATATGAGTATTTTCCTGATTGACCTACACCACAATTTCATATATTTATATAACTATTTATAGAATATGCTTATTCTTATGATTACCAGTAGCAGCTAATCAACACATATAATTTACTGCTTTTTACAATGGAAGATAATGAATATTGAGCAGAATTAAGTTCAAGTTATCTTTGGTTTGGCCCTCCAGCACAGTTCAGGTTTCTCATGTGGCCCCTTGTAAAAATTAATTGCCCACCCCTGCACAAGAGAGAGTGGAGCTGTGGTCAAGCAAGCTATATAGTAAACAAAGAGAGGGAGCTGTATTAGCAAGAAGCAGTAAACATGGTGCTACAGAGTTGTGCTGTAGCACTGTCATCATTGTGACAGTGCCCTTATGGCAGCCTAACCACTTTAATTCATACATGTAGCCGGATAGAATGTCTGACCAGGTAAAATTTGTTCAGATGTGATGCATAAAATAGCCAGCAAATTCCTGGCTAGGAGTGCCTGCCTGAAAGTTAATTTAGAGATGCAGAGCAGAGACAAAAGCAGCACAGCAGCTGCCAGAGATTCATATTTAAATGAAGTGATCGTTGCAATACTACTTCTTCTATCTGACGGTGGTAAATATCGTGCAGGGGTTTGTCTTTCCATGAGGGTTCCTGCTCTTCCTTTCCTTGTTCTTCTGGTTTCTGCTGCCTGAGGTATTCACTAAGCATGTCATCATTTGGGGCCATCTGCCTGATGTATTCATGGATCTTTGTTGTTTCAGCCTGGATAGTGGCTCTGATGCTCACTAATCCTCAGCCTCCTTCCTACCGCTTAGTGTACAGTCTCAGAATGCTGGACTTGGGGTGAAACCCACCGTGCATTGTAAGGATCTTCCTTGTCTTGATGTCAGTGGCCTCTATCTCCTCCTTTGGCCAGCTTATTATGCCAGCACCTGATGACCGGCAGGACATTGCTGTTAATCGCACAGACTTTGTCCTTTCCATTCAGCTGACTTCTCAGGATTAGCTTATGGATATATTTATATGTGAATATATATGTATTTCTGTATATATGTATTTATAGAGATTTGCATAGTAAATTTGTGGATTACAAAAAGAAATTATTTGCTATATTTTCCCCAAAATATCTTGACTGATATTAAATGTTTTAGAAGACTTTATAAATACAAATGTGATAATATTAACAACAACAAAAACAATCATCATACAGTGATAACACACGCAGTTTTATTTGCAGAATTGGTCATATTTATCTGAAAAATACCACATGTATTTTGTTTGTCTTCTTGGAGTTTTATGGGGGTTGGCAAAGAAACCACATGTATTTTACCAAATGCTTCCAAGCTGATAGTACATCGTTACGTCAGAACGCAGCGCACGTTACCATACGCTGCTGACGTGTAATAAGGAAGTAGCTTTCGACCTGTCTTTATCCGTTAGCTCCTAGTTCTTTCTCATCATCGTAAGCTCCTGTTATTGACAGCTCACTACGAAATCATCTGAGATAGCGTTTAGCTGTCCGATGAAATAACAACGCAAGACTAACCGGGCTAATTACGAAGGTAGGTGACTTCTAATGAAATCATCAGCAAGAATTAACAGGCTGTAGCTATTAAGTTACAACTAGCAACCTAACAACATGACGAATAAGTCAGGTGATGTGAGACGAAGCCTTGTTGAAGCACTGAGGCTTTCCAGTCAATTGTGTTGAAAATAGATTAATTACCCGAAGCTGCAAGGGAACCTTTGGGACACCTCTCGGTCAAAAAAGAAGAACAAGAAATGAAAATCCTAGCATTGCCAGTTGCTGTGGTGTAACGAGTAGTATGCTGGTCTTTTAATGCTTATGTTTTCAAAAGCAGGGGTTCAAAACCTTTTTAGACTACCAAATAGTTAAATCTTGTTACTTGTTTGCACAACATAGTTTTCTATACAAACCTATTTATAT